AGTGTTTTACTCATATTAATAAGCCTCCGTGACCAACCCCTAACTTACAGCCCCAAATGAATATGCCGATGAATCCCCAGAACTGTGCTTTGGGTGGCTATTGTGACTGCAGTGTCAATTCTCCGGAGAGTAAATAAGGGGCCAGGAAAAACAACTCGGAAGCTCTATGTCTGGAAAAAAAAAGAAGTGACAAATTGGTGAAAAAGTGGATTAAAGAGTGGAGGACAGAGAGAAAGAGGCTGGGTAGAGTCATATCAGTGAAGTGGACAAGAAGTGTCATTTTTGACAAGGTCATTTCTTGGCAGATTTAGAGGGAGGTGGCCTGTTTCTCCATTGGCGGACCCCCCACGACTACTGGGAATACTATTTTGTGTCATTGTAGCCTTTTTTGGCTTGTTACAGGAAAAACAAAACAAGCAATAGTGACTTTTCTATACTTTTTAGATGGCAAATGCTGTTTTATCTCTGAAACACAACTCCAGTCAGCGCTATAAATAAAAATGAGCAATTATGCTCTATGAATTCTCCAAATGAGAATACAGAATTCCAGTGACTCCCTATACATCACTAAACTTACAGCCAACTCTCCTATTTCATACCATAGCATGGTTCACTGAACTCAAATATTAAATATTGGAAAAGGGAAATCTCACACTGATTTAGTGAAATAAATGTATTTTGTTTCTGTGGCTGAACCTTTAGAGATAATGTTCTTAAATAGAAAGGTTTAAGATCTATTCATTTAAAAGGCATTGGAAAGATGCTACAGGAAAGCAGTGCCAATGCAACAGCCTTTGCTCAAGTTTTACAACCATCATATTGGGAATGATAGAGAGAGTTTTCAAACTGCTTCAGCCCACACAGTTGATGCCAGACATTTAAATAAGTGAAACAGCAAAGAACATTGAGAAAAGAAGCTAGAAATAATGGGGCTGTTTCATTACTACACTGATGCAAATGCACACTGGTGCAAGTCCTCTGAAATGAATAGTTATGCCAGTATATCATTTGGAAGTCATACAGTGGTGAACCAGACCCAAGGCTGGATTTCATTTTGAACATTTCTAACACTTCCTAAAGGCTCATCTTCAACCCTCGGCAGTGCCACATGCCAATTTAAAATGAGAAACTCTTAGGACAACTCCTGGTTCACATAAGACAGAAATAAATTTGGGTTCCAAAGGGAAAGACATGCCTCATAATGAACAAGAGCTGAGAGGTGCGGTTTAGGTATCAGGGGAAATAGGGTGTCAAAAAAAGATTGCTTTATTGTATCCTGAAAGCGAGCACATAGAAGTACATAAGATGTAGGTCACATATTATGTTGATAAAGATTGCAAATAAATGCTACAAGTGTGGTACATGAACAAGTAGTGCACTGTAGATGGTTAAAAGCACACCGTGAGGGTGATATAGATTGTTATAAACAACCTGCGAGCCTGCTGGACTGTGGAGCAGTCTCTAACTTTATTATAATAATACTAATCACATATTAATACATCTCTCTATATTAAAGGCATAGCATGCCACTTGCTGTGCTTAAGGCAGATCTTATTTACAAGGCCTTGGAGACTGTGCGTGACTTTCCAAGAAACTGGCAGACCCCGACCCCGACTGAAGAAGCCATATTCATCTATTGTTATGGGTAACAGAGGTAGTCTGGCATAATTTCTGTCATCTACTGTCATGCCCACATGAATAGGACATGGGTGTGCATTTCATCACTGTGTTTCTGTATAAAGTATGACCTTTTGAAATTAAATGTCACTACGAAAAAAATCTATCTGAAATGTGAATGCAGTTGGATATTTTTTTCCCTGCTGTACAAACAACCTTACTGTCTGTAAATCAGTTTACCTCTGCAGCAATGGGAACAATTTAAGTTCAGATCCCAGTCCAAACAAAGGGAAGCCCACTGTATTTCAAATGACATTTAATCTTGCATTTCCTAGCAGAGCAACTTGATAAAGGCTTAAAAGCTCACTCAGTGGAATGGGGATGATACTTACCTAGAAATGAAACGCAGACTTTGCAGAAAGTATGAAACTGGAACTTGCTGGCAGCCTCCAGAAGGGTTTTTGCATTGGCAGAATCTATGATCAAAGAACCTGTATAAACAAACTCCAGTAGTAACTCCAAGACGTCTGCAGTGAGGTTTGACATGGCCAATTCCAGTTTCTCCCCGCTTCGGCTACTGTCTCGTGGTGACCTGGTAACAGTAGACAATGACATTCTTACAGGACATTACGCCATCCCCTGTCCGCTGTTTACCAATTAGTGAGGGCTAGAACATCGCTTTGCACCTCATTACATTTCTTCATATTTTTTTTAAGGAATTGAAGAATATTGCATTTTAAAATAACTGAACTTAAAGACTTTAACTGGATCTGAAAGAGAAGAGTCTTAAAGCAAGTCTTACCAAAAAAAAAAAAATTTTGTTTATTGCTACTCTGCATTTTCATGCAAAAAACGGTTGCAAAAAAACAAAACAAAAGGAAAAAGAAAAAGAATATGAGCCAACATTAATGAAAATGAGGAACAGGATTAGCTTTCAAAGGGAAACAATACATTTTAACATTCACTTAATAGCTCATCTTCCTTGCACAATATGACAGTCAGGGGAAAAAAAACCTCCTAAATTTCAAGAGAAAGGTCACCTAGTTTATCAGGGACACCTCTCATCCAGTTCTTCAGATGATTTTATGTCATGCAAATTTAGGGATTCGTTTTAGGATCTCTTCAATCAGAAATAATAATCGTAATAAATGTTTCAAGCAGATTTTCTAAGCTTGAACTTCTCAATGAATGTTAATAATATATGCATTATAGACAGACATTCATACATATATATTTACATGTATATTCATATCTAAAATATATTGTTCCCCTTTAGGCAGTAAAAAAAGGAAGCCCCTCATGGCATTGCTTTGAAAACTGAATACAAGACAAGATAGACAGACAAAATGGTTAGAGCAAAGAAGGGAAGGGGGGAAAAACAACAACCAGCTCTGCCACAGGAAGCCAGCAGCCATCCTCTAGGAGTGTCATGACTGTGGCCTACGATTTTTCCTGCATAAAGTGCTAAACAATTTGGGGATCAAAATATCTCCTGCATTTGAAGTGTGCATTAGTGTTCGTGAAATTATTGGACAAAAAGAACAATAAATTATAAGAAATTAAAATAAGGGCCCAGTTCCTAATGCATGGTTGGCTGGTGTGGCTGCAACACTAAAGACGGCTTACACCTGAAAGACAAAAGTGATAAATTTTGGTAATGTCAAGGAAGGGAAAAATCTGTTAAAGTGAGAAAACTCCTTCAGTGGTTAGCACCATTCAGCACCTTCTTACAGAAACATTAACTTCTCCTAGTGGCTGGACAAACAACGCCTGCTCACACCATTACTGCTACAGGATTTGTGAAAACCATTGTGTGATTGGCACCAAAATTGTGTATTTCTCCACGGGCCACATACAGACCAGGAAACACTTCAGAATAAATGGTTTCATCACTGGCAAGGTTTAAACTCATACAACACTAGTAACTGCTTGGGGCCCTAAATTTTCAAAGTTTACAGGGCTGCCTAGAAAGATTACGGTCAGATATCCACATTGAGCCACAATCCCAGAGGACAAAGCTCAGCCAGTCAGATTTTCTTCCCTTGTAGAAATGCACGGATCACTCTCTGCCTCCCCACCAAACTCAGTGATCTCCAAAGCTGCTTCACAGGTTTTCATACATGGTTTCAGCTAGTTATGGCCTAAAACAACCCCCAGTCCTGCCTGATCTCCTAAATACTTATGCGTCTGCTTAATTGTATACACTGTGAGTAGTTATGTTAAATCAATGATCTTAAACCCTTGTGGGACTGGGCTCTTAAATTACTTCATTTTTCTATCCAAGACACTCGCATGACCTTCATTACTAGAACAAGTGAACACCTCATCGACTTCAATATAGTTACCCTTACTGTAAGGAAGGGAAATGCTGCTACCCCCATTTTATAGAGGAAGAACTGAGGCACAGCGGCAGACAAAGGGGCTTCCCTAAGGTCAGACAAGGAGTCTGGGGCAAAACCGGGAGTTCATTTGAATCACTTAGATCCCAAGGTCACGTCCTAAACACTGAATTTTTCTTTTCTGTGGGCATCCCTTTAGGCTAGGTCTCATTCCACAAGCAGATGGATAAGCATGTATGTTAATCGAGGGGTTTATTGTGCCCCAACATGCATGCGCCATATGAAATCCTGACTTTTTAACAGAGAAGCCATATGGTCTCTAAACTATCACATATGGAAGCAGTTTTTTGCTCAGGCCACGGTCCCTCCTGAGAGAAAACAGAGGAGTGAGAATATTGTAGACCCTGATACAGCTGTGCTCTCACAAGCCCTTGTATCTGGTCTATCCTGAAGAGTGCATGGGGATGGCTGTAACACGCCTGCAGTGCTCCCGAGAGGGCTGCTTGTCCTCGCATGCGAAACTTGGACATGAGTTGGTGAACCCCCCGCAATGGCATCCCTCACCGCTGCTCTCAGAGATCTCAGGCCTACCGCGGGGAAGAGGGTGCCCCAGGGCATCTTCACAGGCTCATTTCTGAGCTTGAAGTACGTGCAGAAGGACTGAGCCATGCTCTCAGGAGTCTCGTAGAAAGAGTGCTCTATAAATCCTTTATACACTGTGCCCAGTATCACAATGCCTCCACGGTGCCCGAGGCAATGACGTAGTAACTAACTGAAGTGTCTCATGTTCTTCCATTAATCGCTTCAAGGAACTGTTTGCCACTCGACAAGGAGTTCTTCATCAAGCAGGACTAGTTAATGAACAGACTGCTCACTCATTTCAATGGGGCGTGAAGGCAACCAGACAGTGGCAAGATGGAGCCATGCAGCGAATGACGCCCTATTGCAAGCACAGATTTGTTCGGGCAAAAATTGTATGGGATGGCTTTGTGTGACATGGCAAAAAGACTGCCGGTAATCATGAGCTGTTTCCTGTCGTGAATGTAGCAATGAGGAGGAGACACAATGGACATGGCACCACCAACATCAGAATAAAAAAAAAAAAAATACTAACAGCAGCAATGACTAGTCCTTTATTCTCCAGAATAATTAAGAAATAATTCATTTCACTTTGCAATACATCGAGCAACTAAGGTTGCTTGAATTGATTAGATGCTAGAGCAAAGGTAAGGTGTTTACTCAATCACAAGCTCTGGTAATGGAAGAAAAAACCTCTGTGCTGGTTTGAAAATGGTGTGTTGCTGTGCTTGGGCTTTTTAGACTACGTCCCCATGAGGGGCACAGCTCAATGCAATGCTGAGTGGGGCTGAATTCGCAACATGGGCTTGGTTTCAGCAGCAAAGTAAGATAAAGAGCCTGCATAGCTCCCATGCTGATGAATGGGCTCGTGTGGATTTGCACAGATCGGAAACCAGATGGATTATTGGCTAAAGTAGGTCCTAAGGGATCAAGAAGGAGTTTTCAAAGGAACTGAGAAAGAGAAATGTACATGGAGACAGACCGACGTGGCTGGACACGTGGTGCATCACAGAGAGGTTTTTGTCTGGTTTGAAAGTGGGTTCTGAGATCTGATTTACTGAAGTGGTTTCTTAATAGACTTTTCTTTAGGTATTTCCTTTGTAACACTGATGCACTAGAAAATTATACTCTGAGAATGGTTCCTGAGTTCCCTATTTTATAGGTAGTATGATATCGATAGCCTTCATGCAGCTATTATACTTCATGCATTCACAACGTATCCTCCTCTTAGTTACTCCTGTGCAACTCCTGTGGAGTCAGGGAGGTTGCACTAGTATAACAAAAGATAATTTAGCCCTGTAAATGCAGAGAGCTTTTCATCAAGTGAAAGGGTGCATGCCCATATATACTCAGGCACGTGGTGTCTGACCCAGCACCCCCGAAATCAATGGAAGTTTTGTCACTGGCTTCAGGAGATGGTCTAAGACTCTTCTTAGGGCAATCAACAGCACAGCTCCCGCTGACTTCTCAAAGTCAGTAAAAGAAAGGATTCATCCTTCAGTGGAAAAGAAACACATGCATTCACAGTAAAGTACATGAGATACATGCATTTAATACACGTTCAAGTAAGCATGTAACGCACACCTTCTCTTTCTCTGTCTCACACACGCACGTGCACATACGCACACTTGTGTACACTCAGAACAGCATTTTGGAGATTTGACGTCCTTAGCTTTTCATTACAGCTGAAAGCTGGGGAAGGTATGTTTGCAGTCCATGGACATAGTTAAAGGCGACACATTTAGCTATTTGCCCTGTGAACTCTAAAGTTTAAATAGACTGATGTCATTTTATTGGCCTTCTAATCATTGCTCATATTAGAAAGGTCAAACATTTTACACTGTGGCAGAAAATCAATAACTTTCCCAACAGCCTCTGTGGGAAAAAAAAGTTTTGCTTCTAAAGAATAATATGTAATAAACAATTTTAGTCCATACTTTATCATTGCTGCAATCTTTGAGCATGGCCACGGTAAAAAGCTGGCAAAGGCTGATATATAAACTCATTAAAATTAGGAAGTGATTTAGAACTAGACCTTAAAAAGATTTATCTTGGGCTAAACAGCAAAGAGGGTTGTTTAGGTCTACATTTAAACAGGCTGCACAGGCTCTTTAACAGCTTAATTTTATGGTGGGTGTCAGTAAATTCTTTCTGATTTACAAATCGTATAGTCTCCAGCGGGGTGATGGAAAGACCTCAACAATCTGCAAGCAGAGTTGAATGAAGCCATGGCACATACTCATTCTGCTTGGGTAAGGCACTTACTAATAAACAAAACATTTTTTTTATTGATTGGGGTAATTGGGTCCAACAGACTAGGTATCTGTGAATGCTGCGGCACTTAGCTGAGCTACAGCTTCCAATTTAATAACACACTGGAGGACCCTTTGGCACCGGGAGCCCTCTGAAGCAAAGCACGGCTCAGTTACACTCAGGACCCCGAAGAACAAAGTTAGCATCCTTCTAGTGAGTGAGTCTATGGAGGAGATAAAAGGTTTGCATGCTGGTAGGAAAGAATTAAAGTTAAATGTGAAAAAATCCTTGCTAACAGAGTCGGATGCTGGGTCTGAATAAACATGAAAACAAAAGCAGAGGAGTCTATTTCTGGGATTAATTTGCTCTAAAAGTGCTTTTCCTTAGATTGAACATATGAAGATAAGCATCAGCACTGTCG